TGCTTTCTTGCTTTGTGGTAGATCTTTGTTCTGTCTTCACTGAGATATTTGAATGCTAATCAATAAAACATGTCACTCATAGAAGGTATCTGTAGCAGCTGCCTGAAAGAGACTTTCTGTATAACACCATACAGTATCTCATTAACACTATTATTCTATTTTTATGGTCTGTAACGATACATTTACCATAAACAGAAGTGTGTTTTTTAAAAATGCGTCTCTCACACTTGTCGAATGTACAAAAACACATTGTTTAGTGTCAGTTGAAAATGGGTTGAAGAATGGATCTTGATGCTAGTAAAGGTTGAACTGATGGTCCTGCTGTACTGTATTTCATCCCTACACAGTCTTCTGTGGATAGCTTTCATTTGGTTTGTAAAGATATCAGATCAAAGCAGCTCTGTGGGTTTCCTTTTCAAAATTGGGGATGTCAGGCTCTCTGTGTCTCTCTCTCTGACACATAGACACACAGTTCTTTCTTATCATTCTTGACAGCCTGCTGGTCTAATTACAATCTCTCTGTTATCTCTCCACCCAGGGGATGTACAGTTGCTGCCAGTTTGAGGATGAGACAACACCGAGAGGGAGCAAAAGCTCTTTGCCCCAGTACCACACCGTGACCAACATGCCTAGTGTACCCCAACAACACCTTGTTACAGCCACAGTAAACAACACAACTGCCATTGCCATGGTGCAGCAGCAACAACCGCAGAAGCACCACCAACAGCAACCAGGGCAGACCTATACCACTATGTTGCCTGGGTCTCCGCCAACTGCTGGACACTCAGCAATGGCTCTTGGTCCCTCGACTAGTCCCTTACTAGAGGGCCCCATGCCTTGCTCCACTTTCTTGCCTCGACACGACCGCAGACTGGCTGTGGTTGATCGCTGGAACAGGCCAAAGCCAGAAAAGGTTGTGAGCACAGGCAGTTCTGGAGGCGTTGGTGTTGGAGGGATAGCTGGTGGGATCACTGAACTACAGGCCCAGCAGCAGTATCAACAAAACCTTGGGCAGCACTGGAGCCTGCAAGGAGGAGTTGCAGGTGGAGCAGTGGGAGTAGGTGACACAGGGCTAGATGAATATAAGCGCTACTATGGTCCTATTGATCCAGAGGGGCTAGGATCTAACTCGGACCAACAGGCAGGGGGCCCCCAGCAGACTCCCAAAGCCAATTCTCGAGGCCCCAAGGCCTCAGGTATGCCAAGGCTACCTCCTAAAGGCTCCCAACAAGGCCCGGGGCACCTAATCTCCAAGCCTCCTCCACCAATCCCATCTTCTCCACGAAGGCCTCCCTTCTGGCGACGAGGCAGCTTAGCTCAGACAAGGAGAAAAGGCTCAGGAGGTCCCCTGTATGAGAACATCCTCCCTCTGGGGAGGCGAGGAGGTGGGCGATACGGAGCAAGCGATGGAGGTGGAAGAAGAGGACGTCGTCCCCCTCCACCTCCACCTCTTCCTGCCCCTCTTTCTTCTCCAGCACACACCCCTACCACTCCCTCGTCCCCATGCCATTTCTACTCGTCTTGTTCCAGTGCCTCGTCTTCTTCCTCTTCGTCCACATCATCCTCATCTTCTTCTTCATCCTCAGTGTCACTTTCTCGTTCAAACTCACCTTCTTCTTGCTCAAGTGACAGCTCCTACAACTCATCGCTTAGTTTTCGGTATCGAGCAGGTGATCGGGATTTTATCGTAGACGATGAATATGACTCGGATCTCCTTACAGAGGAGTCCAGCCTCCTTCTTGGGAGGAAGAAAATTCGATCACGCCGAATGTCATCGCGCTCACTGCCGTGCAGCCCGCCACCTCCACCGGTACCACCGCGCAAGCCACGGCCCCAAAGAGATTATGGTAGAGAGAGGACTGGCAGCCAACTGGCCCAGTTACAGGAGTGGTGGGCATCATGGGGTGACAGAGACCGAGGGAGAAGTGGAGCAACGAGCCGAGGAGAAGGAGGAGTGGGTAGAGAGGAGAAGAGACACCACAAAGAGAGGGAGCGTGAAAAGAAGAGAAGGAAGAAAGGTCGAAAGAAGAAGAAGAGGGAGGAGAGAGAGAGAGAAAGGGAGCGAAAGCGGCGCAAAGCAAAGAAAAAGAGGAAGAAAGATGATAAGATGAGGAAGAGAGACCGGAAAAGGTCAGAGCAGGAAGGAGGGGATCCTGAAAAAAGAGAGGAACTCAAATCAGGAACACCAGACTTCCCATCTTACCCAGCACTGAGGCGAGAGTCCTTTCGGAAAAAAAGTGAGAGCTCGGTGAGAAGTTACGGATGGAACATCCCAGGTGAAGATGAGCGAAAAGAAAGAGAAGAGAAAACCAGGGATGATGGGGAAGACAGCAGAGGAAAGGAAAGACAACACCGGCGAAGAAACAGCAAGCACTATCACAGCTCGAGCAGCAAGCCTTCTACATCAGTCAAGTTCTGGGGAGGGGGCAACCCATCCTCTGATGCCATCCCATCTGCCTTCCTGCCCTTGTTGCCTGCCTCTTCTAAAAGGAGGAAGAGTAAAAGTTCAGACAGGGATGCTGTAGGAGTAGAAGGAGAGAGGAGGCCATTGTTGGGACGGAATGAAAGAGTGGAGGTGCACTCCAAGGAGGGGCTGTCCTTCCATGAGTGGGAATCTGAAGTGGATGATGAAGAAGAAGATTCGGAGCGTGACAGGAGGAAAACGGAGCATGTGAAGAGGCGTGGAGGAGGAAGGACAATGTCTGATGATGAGCGTGAACGTGATAAGGTAGTCGGGATATATTCTGATGATGACGGTTCTTCGGGGGAGTTTGGGAAATTCGAGAGGTACTGGGAAGATCACGAAGGTAGAGCGGTGGGAGGGATTGGAGGGGGAGGTTGGTTTTTCAGTACCTATCCTTCCCGGGAAAAAGCTGGCAGCATCAACAGCAGAGATGACCTGTTCCTGGAGCGAGGAGAGAGGTGGGGAACGGCGGAGAGTGGCTGGGGATTAGGGGGAGGTGGAGAGCGAGCAGAGCGAGGGTGGGGATCGGGTTCTCACTGGCCCCCGCCTCCTCTCACGCCACCTCCTCCTCGACGATACTGGTCAGTGGACAAGCTCCACATACAGGATGAGAAGAGGAGTAAGCGCAAATCAAAGGATAAGGGAAGAGGGCACGCTGCTTGTTCCTCCTGTCACTCCCCGAGACACCACCCACACTCCCATTCCTCCAAATGGGCTCGCGTAACTTCACGAAGCCAGGAAGAGCTTTACCACCACTGCCAGAGCTTTAGTGGGCCCATGAAGTCGAAACATGACTCTTCATCTTCGTCCAAACCCGATCGCTCACAGAATCCATCGAAATCTGGCAGCCAGTCAAACCTCAGCATCCAGCAGCGCACACAGAGAACAGACAGGGATCGAGATCGAGGAAGACAGGCTTCCCCTCCTCCAACACTTATCCCTAACATGCCACCTCCGCTCCCTGCTCTTCCAGCTCCACCCTCCTCATCTCTTTCTATACACGTCCCTCCACCTACTCCTTCCTCTTCTGTATCTTCTCCTTCTGTGGTCTCATCAACACCAGGGGCACCCCAAGCCTCGTCCATGGCTTCGGCAAGTGCCAAACTGCAGTACCAGAGATTGCGCTCTGTACCCCAGCCCCAGAGATTTCCTCAGTCCCCTCATTTACCCCTCAAAACCAAGAGCCTTTGCTCCCGAAGGGGCTCTGCCCATTTCTCCAGCGTGGAGAGTGAGGTCTGAAGTTCAACAAGGTATCAAAAGTCATAAGAGAGAGCCCTTCGAGGCTAAAGCGGTTGAACTGGATTTGAATCTGCCCAGCAGCAAACATGCTGCCCAGCCAAGTCAGTACAGCATACGCACTGAGCCCTTTCCTAAAGTTCTGCACAAATAAACAAACCAGAAAGCCAAACAAACCCAATGGGGTAGGTCAAAGGAAAACACGAGCAATCTCTTGTTACTTCCTTTTATTCCTCTCAGTATGTGAAAGACTACAACCACAGCGACAACTTGCATTCTGAAGTAAGTTAACGAAGACACCGAAAGCAAATCAAACATCAAAAGTGGTACAAACGAAGGACAATCCTTTGCTCTAGAAAGTAAAGGGCTTTGGATGTTGAAGCAGAGCAGTAGTTTGTATTCATAGGATTCTTAATGCTTACTGAGGGCTCAGGAACTTTGTAGTACTGTATACCTGCTGCTCTCGGAAGCCTTTAAAACAGAACACTTTCTTGCTTTTTGTTTTTGTGTTGTTGTTTTTTTCTTACACAAATCGCTTACCCCTTATTTCCCTATTTTTCTTTGTCCTTAACAAACTGTTTACACCCCCGCAGAACTGTGACGCCCGTTTGAGGCACCTTTGTTGTGTATAATCAATACCTTCTTGCTTAGAAGAAGAGGAGGGTGGTAACCACCTTGTCTTTTCCGGTGTCTGCTGTTTTTCTTTCGTTTACACCACTGCCCCCTTCCCCCAACGTATTCTACCCCCTTTATTTTTATTGTTTTGTTCTATTCTTTCAATGTGTTTTCCAATTCCTTTCCCGCCTTATTCACACGTCTACCTTATCATCTCTCCTGTCTTCTCCTCTCCTGTCCTCCCCTCTTGGCTCTTCTCCTTGATGTGATTATTCTGTGTGTCTGTGCTTTTCTGTGTTTGTATTTTTGACAACAGGGTAAGTCAACTGTGACTGATATTCTACTGGCTTAATGAAAAGCTGAGTGCCAAACTTAAGTAGAGCTCGACATCAATCTGTACAACGTTAGCAGCTGTGTTTCCTTTTATCTTGCGGAGTATTCCATCATCTCCAAAATATGCACACATGCTAACACTCACACACACACATACACGGACGCGCACACACTCAGATAAAGCTACATCCAATGACACGTGCAGCCTAAAAAGTCACTTCATCCAATCCTGGTTTTGAGCAATATCTTGTTCGCCCTCTGTTCATGTCACAGCTTTATTCTTTAAAAAACCTTTACTTCTGTGTTGTAGTTGTTGTTGTTATTGATGGTGTTCTATATATCAACACACGTATTAAATCAAATACAATGTAAGCACTGTGCCATACTACTCAAGCTTGGGTGCAAATGAAACATTCTCTCAACTACCTAACTGCGACAATGGAGTGTCTGTTTCCTCCCCGTATTCGACTGAATGTAAAGTCAGCCTCTAAACAAGTGCGCTGCAACAACAATTAAGACACTTTAAGAAGGAAATTGTAGCATCTCTGACAGTTTAGTGACAGAGCTCAGTTCCTGCTGACATAAACAACGCTGTACTAACCTGGTAAGGTAAGCTACTGAAAAAGCGAAGCTGCAATGGGGTTATGGGTTAGAAATTACTTGATTTTTGTTTGCTTGTGTTAAACTTAGCAATCCAGGTTTTGCGTGACATGATGGATCAGTCTACTTTACATGGGGCTACACGGATTGTTAGGCAAAGATGCAGGGAAATAAATACTTATAGCCTTATGCTAATTGCTCCTGCCATATGTTTTGTGTAAATTATGAAGTTTTAGTCAACATGTGTGGACAGGACGGTCAGGCAAGGATTCTGTTGGAGCAAAATTAGACCTTGTGCGAGCGCCGTTTTGATGTCAAAGAGATTATGGCTGTGTTGTTATGATAGCAGGGTTTGAGAAAGTGTTGGGTTTGAGTGTATTGAAGACACAGTAGAACCTCCTGTGATATTTTTTTGGTTTTTTTTGTTTGTTTTTAAGTATTTCTCACCTTGTAAATGTGTAACCAAGAGCTATAGCTTTTTAATCCATTACCGAGCTGACACCAGCAGTTACACTCCGATGTCAAGCACTTAGCAAGAGTAGTCTGTTAGAACCATCAACGTTAGCGTTCAGCATCAGGACACTGGACATCAGCGGAGTACAATTAAATAGGCAAGACCCGCCGGCACAATGCTGTTTGTGTTTTTTCATTTGGTCAAGGTGTCTGAGCCAACGTTCCCATACGTCCGGTCAGCTCATGTCGTTTGCCTCTAACTGCATCTGAGCCATAATTTACTTCAGCTGAAGAAAACAAAAAAAAAGAACTTATGTTTTTTAACATGAACTTGCTGTGTAGAGTTTGTCTGACTTTCTTTTAACTAAAAATCTAGATATATATATTATATATATATATTTGTGGCGGTGGGTAGCGTTAGATAAAATTGTTGTTTAGCATCTTGATATTTGGGGATATTGTTTCTCATTTCCACTTCATTATAATAAAAAAAATAAAGTATATAATTACTTTGTGTTAATAATCTTCACAGACCACAGGGAAGTTCCTTACACCAGATTATAGATTTCCATTCTTCAAACGTGAGACTGTATTACATCAAGTTATAGAGTTCAGTACTTATTACAATCAGCAGCAACAACTAATTGAAGTGAAAGCTGGAAAAACATGAAGTGTAATATGTTTCTGTGCATTCACATCGCAAGCTATTCATGTTCGTTGCCAAAAATTACACTCAATACTTTAATCTCGTTTGGCGAGCACGCTTTCACTCCCAACTCTTTGAATGCATCATACTTGAATGCCCTGGCTATCCTTTAGCACAGGGGTGTCCAACTCCATTCATGTCCCGCAGCTTTTAGATGCATCCTTGTTGTAACACATCTGAATCAAATGAATGGCTTGTTATCAGGCCTTCGCCAAATGTGATGGCTGAAGAGGTAATCCATCCATTTGATTCAGCTGTGTTGGAGTAGGGATGCATCTAAAAGCTGCAGGACAGCAGCTCTCGAGGACTGGAGTTGGACACTCCTGCTTTAGCGTAACTGTCCAGCCTGCAGGGTTAGCTTTGTCATCATGCATGCATATTTTGACCCAAACCATGATCTGTTCCCAAAAGCCAAATGATTTTTGTGCCTAAATGATGAACGACAAACCAAAAACCAGTCAGTTAAAAAATAAAATTAGTTCACAAAACTCTAACACTGTATATGAAGCTCAGACAACTGGTCAAATGTCTGGTGATTGGTATCACCACTACCCTTTCTGCATGTCTTTTTTAGACTATGTCACTTTTTCGAAAATGTTCGCACTCGGTGTTCAGTTTTGCCAGTGCGGTTGTGTAAATAGCACTGGTATTATTGATGCTAGGAATAAGAACATATTCATTTGAGTGAAGAAGCCTTGTTGCTACACTCCTACACTAAAGCACTAGCTCGGCAACACAGCAGCTGCTAGCGGTGTGAATACAACGCTCGGGTGTTTCGTTAGAAAAAATGAGCCACCGACCTTTCCTTCTTTCCCCTTTCCTCCTTGTCCTCATGTCAATCCATCGCATCAGTGTGTGTCTGCCACTGTAAAGCTGGTCTGTTTTTTAAAAGAAGAAGAGTATCTGTGGATATATTTATTTCATCAAAAAAAAAAGCATATCTAAATATATATGACACTATATTTCAAGATTAAAATCTATGTTATATAAGTTTGTCTACTAAATTTACGGTATTATCTCAACGAGTGTGTCTTTTTTGTCCGTTTGTCCGTCTCTCCTTGTCTTGAAACTCCTGCACCGCTCCTTAGCGCCCAGTGAAAACAGAGACCAGTATGTAACTGTGTTTTTGCTCACTTAAGACCAACCATCCACCTCCATTAGCTATGTACCGTAGCTAACATTTAAGGGTTCATCAAAGTGACAACATGGAGGCGTGCGTGAGTGTCTTACGACCGTGTCACTGTAGCAGTGGTGGCATGTGTTTGATTACCCAGAGGGGCCTTTATTTTTGGTTTGGGCTACAGATTAATGACTAATTAAACCTTTTATGGATACAGCAGCTTTTACCACAACTCTCACTTGTGTAGGCGGGGGTCACATTCTTGACCCTGTTTTGGGTTCTCCAGACCCATGACTTTATACCTTAGTGTACAGTGAGGTGACCTCTTTAAAAAACAATGTAGCGAGCAGCACAGGCTTCTTTTTTTTCCTCCTTTGCTCTTTTGCATCTCTTAGTAGCTGTATTGCTATACGAACCATGCACAGCTACCCCTGCCAACCAACCTATATGGTAAATACTGTATAAGGACTTTGATATCCATACATAGTGTGTTGTATCTGCCAAGCTGCTGTGCTATAAAACAAAACTAAAAAAAAAAGGAAAAAAATAGTTACACACAACAAACACAAAGTTTCTTTCTTAATTTTACAAAACTGGGGAAGCTAATACGACACATGTCAGGGGCAGAGCCAAATCTGCTAGCGTGGTTTCCACTAAGGCCAAAAATGGTCGAACCAGGGCTTTACTTTGATCATCATATTTTCAGACAACATAAACGATATCGCCACTTTTCGCCAACGAGAAAGTAAAAGCTCCAAATGTAGAACATCTTATACTTTTACATGTTTAAGATGCATTAAATGTATAGTATTCCTCTATGGACGCTGATATATTCATATTCCAAAGTGTGTTTAAGTGTATTTAAAGCTTCTAACATTTATTGCATTTATTGTTCCTGAGCCCTGGCAAGCCCAGTTTTCGCCTGCAGTGGGAGGTTGTCCACAATTTCTGCCTGTATGCCTCCGAACAATGTCTCAAGGCCTTGTAATAATACTGCTGTTTTGAGTGACTGTATGGGTTGATGGCTGGTGGTGCTGCACTTTATTGTCAGCACCTCACACACACGCAAAGACATGTGTACACACGCAAACACGGACACACACCACACACACGCACAGATGTGGTTAGATGTTGCCATCCCTCTGCTTCAGCCACATCTACCACCAGTGGGGATAATGACAATACTGTGCTGTACTGCAAGCAGGACAAAAATAAAATGATTTTAATAAAGAACTGAAGCAATGGTCTGATTTTATTTTTAGCTTTATTTTTTCTTGACATTCGAGGATCTTGGCTGACGCTTGCCCCAGAACATGTAAGGGAAGAGAGTTGTTCTTAGCCAGGTGAGGAAAAAACATGATTTTTAGTATCATTTAAGTCATTTTAGTAAAGAAATGATAAAAGTGGTGGGAAAATATGTCAGTCTACCATGGTGAATTTCTACCCTGACAACATGTTTTAAAAAAATCATAAAGGTAGGTTAAATCTGAGGAATGATTTGTTAGATTCAGGTGGAATTTTTCTGTGTGCGTGAGTTGCTTGAGATAAACTAGGAAGGTGTGTTTTCGCTAACTAGCCTGTCATGTGACGTGTGTTCGTTTGAATTTTACATGTAAGAGGTCAGCATGGTAGAACTCTGCATAAGAGATACATGATGCTAGTGAAATGCACAGCAGTTTCTTGGTGTATCTTCTGCAGACAGAGTGACTGTAACCCAACACCTTGATTAATGCTGGACTGAAACTGAATTGTGGGGATCAAGGTTATTATCGTTAACGAAAACTAGAAGTGAAAAAACATTTTCGTTAACGTAAATGCAACAGAAATGATGGAAAAGAGGGGGAGAAAAGGCCAAGATAAAGTAAATCAGTTAGAGAACAAGTGACAGAACTAGGCAATGAAGAAAAGAAGGGAAGTGCCAGTTGAAGACACCAACGCTGATAGAGATGACTAAAGAGAGATGTAGAAGGAAGCGGAGAAGTGACTCTCTGCAGGACAAGATAGAGGCAGTTGTCATTTCTGCCAACAATAGGCCACCACAGAGCATCGCCTGTATTAGGAGCACAGCAGATATGGATAAATCACTCTCTCCCACACACTCGCACACATTATTTACCTCCGTCTCTTGCCATCCTTCAGTGAAACATATTGCAGTCATATTATCAGCCACACAAAGCACACACACTTCCTCCCTCTCACTCAGCAGGAATTACCTCCTAATACTTCCTCTGCTTGACGTTTTGCAGTCCTATACTTAGACAGCAGGTTCAGGAGTTCAAACGTGTTGACTGTAAATGGAAAGCACACGCCATAAAAAGGCGACGCGCTAAATTTCCACTGTCAAGTGTTTGTGCACTTTGATTAACGTCTCCTCTTAATGTCTCCCGTGGGGTGCCAACCAGCATACATGTGTGTCTACAAACCCCCCCAACTCAATAACTTCCTCTGTGAAAGGTCGTAAAATGTCACAGTTACAGTTAATCAAGATGGAGCTTTTTCCCCGCAAAGCACTCAGTGTCATATTTATGAGACATCTTGATTTGTCGTCATCGTAAATGGACATTATGAGTTTGCCACTTCAAAATGTAAATATTAAAATGCATTAACACACATCGCCAGATTTCAGCAGTTCAGGTGAAATCAGCAAATCAGGTCAAAGGTCAAACATTTCCGATAAAAATACGAATGCAGTTGGACTGATCAAGCCCCGTCAGTTTGGGTCTTTATCAGTTGGACTCATTCACTGCTTCCAGTCTGCAAAACAAATACGATTTCACTGTTTATGCAAAAGCTCTATTATTATCGTAATTGTCGGGCTATAAGCCCCAATTTTTGCACAAGCTTTGAACCCTGCAGCTTTTAGTCAGGTGCGGCTTTTCTATGGATTGTCCATGATTTTTGTCATATCGTAAGACGATTTGTTT